AGATCGTCGGGTCATGTTAGTACAATGTCCTAGTGGAGTTTGTGATGACCGCAAAAGGAAGGTTCTCACATACACTGTCTTGCAGTGCGGTCCAATGAGCCCCCGAGACATAAGTCATCCCCGTCTGATCGACCCGCAGGCTACCAAAGGAGTCGGCCACTGTCTCTGGGCTACCAGCCGGGAAAGAATCGCTCTTATGCGCTAGGTGAACTGGGTTCTCTACCGTTTGGGGGGTTTCGCCCTTTTGCAATGCTACCACTAGATCCTCCAGTTGGCGGATCCGTTGGGTCAACTGCCGGGGCTGAGCAGGTCCATTCCTCCGCGGAGCTGCTGAGAGAGGGTGAGCATATACGCATCCTAACCCACGTTTGGTACAGCTACTACAAGGCTGGAGACGGTCACATCTTAACCTTCAAGGGGTTATTCAGTCATTCACGCGAACTACCACAACGGTATGCCTTACTTTTTCTGACGACAAAATGTGCAGGATATAGGCGTCCGAACGGCGGGTTTGGATGCCATTTTCCCTAAAACAAAGGATTAGTCTTGTAACAGGGTGCGTTGAATGCATGGGGATATTGATGTGATATTGATGTTTGGCGTCTCTCGCGGGGTTCACCGCCGCGGCTTACTCAGCTAGATATCTTGATACGAGCCTGCAGGGTTTTTCTATATGTTGCACAGTTCATAGTGTTGTCCCTGAAATTTCCATAGCATACACACTCTTTACTTGAATACCCAGCCCCAGAAATGGTTAGTCTGTTGAAACCATCTGAACTAGGCCATGATACAGGCTTGTCCACCGAGACATTCAGTGTATTCGGCTCAACGACACTCCAAGATCGCCCGGGCTTGGCGCGCCGGGCCGGAGATGCTAGCGCCGGAGATGGTCCCGCCCTCCCGAATTGTGGCTCCGGACTGAGGGTCCGGAGGGCTTCACCCAGTATAAAACTACCATTATGATCCAGGTATACGTCTCAATTCCTATTCCGAAGCATCTAAAATTTCCTAGCATTCTCCAAGATAGTATACCATCACACTCGGACATACACATACAGGGACGTACACAATGGCACCCGCTCTCGGCCAGATCTTCCCCCCAAACCCTACTTTTGTCGAGAAAGACATGCCCGACCTGACGGGAAAAGTAACTATCGTCACTGGTGCAACCTCCGGGGTCGGTTTCAACACGGCATCCATTCTATATTCAAAGAATGCCACTGTTTACATCGCAGCCCGATCTGCCGACAAGGCCCGGACGGCTATCAACGAGATTCAGACCTCCACGGAGGGAGCACATAGCCGTGGTCGCCTCTCCTTCCTGAAACTAGATCTGTCTGACCTAGCGAGCATCAAAGAAAGCGCCAATAGGTTCTTGGAACAGGAAGACCGCCTTGATATACTGATTCACAATGCCGGGGTCATGACTCCCCCGGCGGGCAGTAAGACAATCACTGTATTTGCCCCATAGCAATAACTACAAACTGATGGGGCAAACATCAAAAGCTGATATGTGATATAGGGCCATGACCTTGAAATGGGAACAAACTGTCTCGGTCCCTTCCTCTTCAATAAATTCCTTCTTCCCCTTATTCAGCGCACCGCGGCCACGGCTCCTGCGGGTAGTGTCCGCGTGGTGTGGCTATCATCCATGTTAGCCTCGTTTGCGGCAACCGGTGGAATTATCTTCGATGATGAAAGTGATTCTCCGAAGGTTCTGTCTGATGCGATGCAGAACTATATGGAAAGTAAAGTGGGGAATATGTTTATCGCCAAGGAGATGGCGAAGCGGTATGGTGGGGATGGCATTCTCAGTTTGGTCCGTTTGCCCTTATCATTGACTCGTATGATATATGCTAATGAGACACAGAGCGTTCATCCCGGTCTCATGAAGACTGAGTTACAGAGACATAATTCTGCTATTCAGTCCACGGTTATGGTACGTTTTAATTTTCCTGCAAGGACCTCAACTCCTGGCTGACAATACGCAGGGCTGGATATTCAAAGGCCCCCGATACGGAGCATACAGTGAGCTCTTCGCGGCGCTATCTCCAGAAGTTACAAAAGAGAAGAATGGAGCGTATATTATTCCCTGGGGGAGGTTCGGCCCTATCCCTTGTCATCTTCAAAAGGCCTTGGTGTCGAAGCGTGATGGAGGGGCAGGGACGGCGGAGAGGTTTTGGGCTTGGTGTGAGAAGGAAACTGCTCCGTATCTTTGAAACGACTGTTGCCTTTTCTTTGTATATTTAAGTATTTTTTCGCGTGGGAGTTCATAGTATAATAGCTTTTGTTTGGCGCCCAATTCGATTTATAATTAATGTCTTATTGCTTAATTTATAGTGTGTAGCACAATATATTCATGGTAGGATACTTCATATGACAGATAGACATTAGCTCGTATTCAACTACAGAGAACATGGTATTACAAGTCCCGTTGTTAACAACAGACTTGTCCCTTTGAAACCCAGATGGCTCAAACTGTAAGCTTCAAATCTTCACTCCGATCCCTTGATTTACCCCATGTGCGCCTGTTTCGATCTGGTGAGTAGTGACTAAACGGGTCCTGATACTGTGCACTTGGATCAAGAAATGTCCTTTGCCGCATTATTCCAAATCACAGGCAGGCAAAAGTATCTTGCTGCATCGATGGAACTAGAAGAGGTGGAGGGTAGACCTGCAGTCCGATAGCTGACACATTTACCCCTCTCTTTAGACAGCGATCTAGGCCACATTATCCGAGACTATCTGTCTGTTTGCCTGGTAATGGGTGAAAACATCTCTAAATCGCCAACCTCTACTTCCCAATATACATCGGTATCCTGATAATCTCCTCGCAGGCCTCGATGCTCAGCCGATGTTCCCCGAGCCCTTTGGAAACGCAGGGAGACTTCCTTTACTGCCCTGCAATAACTCTCATTTACTGCAATTATAGAAAGTGCAGCATGTTATTCTCATGGCTCAGCAGTCTGCATAAATCAAGGAACAGAATATCACGTTCACGAATTTGAAGCGAAGTATATCTAACATTGTCAGTTCTTGGTAGGTTTAGTATTCACGAGAGATGTAGATGATACCCTGGTAATCATTTCTATAAGTCCATAATATTGACAGCGCGTTAAAGAGATAATGAGTAGATGGTGAGCTTGGAAGGTCTTGGTAATGACTAGGAATAACCCTGGTCAGACAGCTACATATGACAGAGAGTATGCAGGCAAGTGGGCCATTTCAGCCATGCACTGTTGACGTTTTTATTGGAAGTGTCAGTCAAAGGGCGTCATGGTCCTTTCTTGGGGCTATTACATCTAGTATTAGACATTTATTAGTCGTCTAGGTTAGTATGCGGTGGTGGGGAGGATTGTGTCCTACCAATAAATGGTTCTATAGGACGTACGTCGCTCATGCCTGTGATTATGGGTCACTTTAGTGAGCTTCCACTCCAGCTCTTTACTTGGAAGACAAAAGTTCGGAACCGTCAGTTGTATCAGGAGTACACAGATATCATGATTATGTGCAGCTGTTACTAAACTGAAGCCCAATAATGGCATTTCTGATTGCAGTTGTCGCTGTTTCATGCGTCATTGGCAGGTTCCATCATATAGCCATGCGGCCGAACAATAGTATGAATGAACCGCAAGAACATATATTTTGTAAAACTAGGACCCACAGAGGAAACACCACTTGTCTCCACGTGCTCATTCCAAGGCATTGTGAAGCGCCTTACTACTAATAAGAGTATTATGAGATGCAATCTTTCTGCTAGAAATTGTTATCGAATTCTTCCCCCAAGTGGCGCGTTGATAGTCTACGCGGAGCCCCTCCAAGTACCTGATCGGCAAGGCGCAGAAGCGCTAGTCAAGGACCTTCTTAAGCATCTGGTGAGAAACTTCGTTGGAGCCTTACCAACCCAGACCTATGGCTTTAATGCTCTGAAACATGCGGCTATGTAAATTGGAATGACACACGTTCACTCCAGGAGTAGGCACCTTTTTTGTCTAGCTGTACGCAAAGCCCTGCTATTAGGTAGACAGACATTCGGGAGCCAGTCAGAAACCCTAAACCGTGTCATACAACCACCAAGAAGCGCCAGCGGCTCGATTTCCCGTGCTGGCTAATCAAGCCCTTTTTAATATTTTGTAGTGATGCTGAGCACTAAATAACGCGCGTCGCAAGTGACCAGCCCATCTGGTTAGTGACCGCAACCGGTAATGCCGATCAGTTGAGGCAATCCGACGGGAATTCCTTAATCCGACGCCAGATTCCCTACTCTTCCACCGGAATAATTCTCAATGAATGTCAACAATCACCAGGCATTCCTCGGTACGAGAGAACGGCGAAGATCTCAAGCATTTTTGACACGCGACCTGCTCCGTTCTCTTCAGTGAGAAATCGGGATGACGTCGCTTTTCCGAGGACGACCGGAGGGACTCATGAGGGTACATTTGGTGGATACTCGGCTAATCCGTTGCACCACTAAAGGGGCCCTTGTGGCGCCGTTTCCGCGGACGAAGCCGACGGCAACATTCGACTCTCGTTTCACCTTCTTCTTTCGGCCATTTTAGGGGTCTTGGCACGTGAGATTTGATGGAGACAGTAAGACCTGGCTAGCTCGTTATTGGATATGAGGTTACCCACTGGGATGATGACCCATCCACGAATGATGTTAAGAACCGCAAGTCTACCCCAACGACATCGAATCATACAATCTTGAAAATTTTTTTCTGTTATGTCCTGCTTTCATTGCCCTTTCTCACTTTTCTATGGCCCCTTCCCATTCTCCACCGTCATCCGCATAACCTGCGAGAGCGCTCGCACGCACACCAAACTAGGTCAACCCGAGTAGCAAGAGGCAAACTGCCTGAACCCAAAGCGCCATGAGGAGAGCTATCTTGCATCTCCCAGTCCCTTAAGACTAGCCTTATCATTTCCAATGCGACACAGTCCACATAGGACATCAATCCGGCTCTTCACACTCGATCGAGAGTGCCATTCGTGCGCGTACAGAGGCAACCAGCGAAAACAATCGGAGCGACAGCATCAGCTCTGCCTTGGGTCACTGGCGGCAAGCGGGGTACTTCGTACCGAGTAGTTATGGGTGCTGTGGACCTGCCTGTTACGCATTGATGTTATGTCAAACTTTTTCCCTGTCTTCCTGCGGCGCATGAATCGTGGAGTTTATATAGGGTTCAACAACTCCCCCTCCCGTCGTCCCACGGCTTTCCTTCCCATCGCATTCCTCCCGGTCTTTCCTCTTCACATCTCGACCCATCCTGAGGTAGTATTTTGTTACTCCTCTTCCTTTGTTGCAAGTTTGATTCCTGTTTTGCGACCGAATCAACTAGCATTTCTTTTTTGAGCGTGTCATCTTTTGCACTACAAAAGACTGTCAATACCCGGCTACCAGGCTGAATTTATATACGAAACAAAAACTATTTCCGAGCGTTTTCTGTGTGGTGTCGTCACAACACTAGACATAGTCATTCTAGGACTGAAAGACGGACACGAACACTCCGACCACGCGCCCAAGCAAAAACCCAGAGAGCGACTTGTTTTGTGATCATTCCATTGCGCCAACTACCATCGCGGTCTCCCTTCGCACCTCGGTTGCCCTTATCTGCACGCCTGCCCGCCATTGCACTCCCTAGCGTCTGCCCTGATAGCGCCCTGCGACAACCTCTCCTACTCACGGTCTAGGTTGTAAGAACAGACGAGATTCGAATCGACCGTTTTCCCCCGAGCAGCAATCCAAACAATCGAATCTAGCCCCGGCGACAAGGCATACCGTGCCCTATTTAGGTCCCCGGCATACAACCCCTGCGACAATCTAGGTCGATACGTTTTTATTTTTAGCCACGCGCCACATCCCACTCGTTGTTACCCCCTTGCGACTTATCTCCGGAACGCCTGATCAAAATGGGTAGCTGGTGGAAAAACTGGCAGCGAGACCGCTCGCAGATCCCTGAGGTCGTGATCCCTCTGGCCGATGCCCCCAATACGACTCCCCAAACGGAGAAGGATGCCGAATCCAATGTCAACAGCTTAGATTCCCAGGAAAAGGGTGCTGCTTCCGCACCCGAAAGCACTACGCTAACCCTCGAGGCCCTGCGTGCAGAAGTCGACTCTGCCGTCTCTGCATCGGGCCATAACTCTGTTTATGATCGTATGTTTCTGTTGCCTCGTAATGGGCGAACTTCGACCCCCAAGGAGCCGGCTATTCTTTCTCTCCCAGCCAGGACCCTCTCCTACCATTTTACCGAAGGATCTGGATGTCTGACTGGATGAATGCAGGCAAGGCCAAGATTATCAACAAGGCCATCCAAGATATCGGCATGGGCCGTTATCAGTGGGAACTTTATATGCTGTGTGGATTCGGTTGGACTGCTGACAAGTGAGTCGACAGATTCCTTTGATCTGTTCGGGTTGCGCTAACAAGTTTTCCCCCTACAGCCTTTGGCTACAGGTGAGACCACAGGAATCATATCCTGACGCTGATGAGACAAGTGCAGTCGAATTAACTCGGTTCTACGTAGGGAGTTGCCCTGACCCTAACCCCCTTGTCTATGGAATTCGGCATCTCCGAATCCTACGTTCGTTTTACTACTTGCGCCTTGTTTGTTGGTCTGATCGTTGGCGCCACTTTCTGGGGTCTTGCATCTGATATGATTGGACGTCGATTGGCCTTCAACACAACTCTTTTCTTGTGTGGTGCCTTTGGTCTTGCATCGGGAGGTGGTCCCAGCTGGGTTGGGTACGTTCCCGCCGACCCTTAAGAAGTCGCTATAGCTAACAGCGTTCAGTACCTGTGCTCTCTATGCTTGCTTGGGATTGGGAGTAGGTGGTAATCTACCAGTCGATGCTGCCATCTTCCTCGAGTTCTTGCCCGGTGCTTCAGGAAACATCTTGAGTTCACTTGCCACATTCTGGTCGGTGGGTACCTTCATTGCCAGTATGCTGGCCTGGGCTTTCATCCCCAACTACTCTTGCTCCGACTCGAGCAACTGCACCAAGGAAAACAACATGGGCTGGAGATACCTTGTTCTTTCTCTGGGTGCCATCACCATAGTGTTCTGGATGTGTCGATTCTTCTTTTTCAAGCTGTACGAATCGCCCAAGTTCCTCGTCGCCAAGGGCCGGGATGAGGACGCTGTCGCAGCTATTCACGGAGTCGCCTATCACAACAAGAAGAAGACCTGGCTCACGGTGGAGATCTTGCAAGAGATCGGCGGAGCTGCCGAGGATAGCAAGGAACAGAACCTTTCCTCCACGCAAATTCTGAAGCGCTCGCTGTCCAAGTTCTCCGTGCAGCAGATCGGACCATTGTTCTCGTCCAAGCGTCTTGGAATCACCAGTAAGCTTTCCCCTTACATCATCAGCAACAGCCCCATCAAGAACTAACGATGAAAACCAGCCGCCCTCATCTGGCTCTGCTGGACCACCATTGGCATGGGATACACCCTCTTCAACGCCTTCCTGCCCCAATACCTCGGCTCCTCGTCTTCCGTATACATCACCTACCGTAACTACGCTATCACCTCTGTGACCGGACTTTTCGGCCCTATTCTGGCCCGCTACATGGTCGACATCAAGTACGTCGGTCGGAAAGGTACAATGGCCCTGTCGACATTGATCACTGCCGTCCTGCTCTTCTGCTTCACGGCCGCGAAGACATCCGACACTCAACTCGTTTGCTCGGCTCTCGAATCCTTCACCCAGATGATCATGTACGGTGTGCTGTACGCCTACACCCCAGAGGTCTTCCCCGCTCCTAACCGCGGTACCGGCTCGGGTATTGCTAGTTGCTTGAACCGCATCGCTGGATTCTGCGCCCCTATCATTGGTATCTATGCTTCTGCGAACCCCAGTGCGCCCATCTATGCTTCGGGTGCGCTGTTATTGGCTTCGTTCGTGGCGATGGTGCTGCTGCCAATTGAGACTGCTGGTAAGCAGAGTTTGTAGACATGTGACTGTCGGAGATGTGTACATGATAGAGCTTGGGAAGATTGAGATGTCTTTCGGTTGATACCACTGTTGTTATGTATCTATATGATGTTGTTATGACCGAGATAGCGTGCATGATTGGATTTTTGGTAGAGAGGATAGAAGAATAGATGGACCATGATTTGATTTACAATCAGGGAAGAAGTCCTCCAGCTATGCTCGTAGTACCCAAATGTCACGACTTTGTAAAATCAGGTCCAAATATTCTGTCCGTAACCCTAGTTTCAGTTCAAGACATCCCTCCCCGCCTCATTCCGATAGCCACCCCACACCCGCAACACCTTCTCCAACGTATCCTCTTTCTTACTCTCAGGTTTATGAGAAGAGAGGTCATTCTGCAGCTTGTCCAGAATACTCCCCAACAACCAATTCTTCACCCTCGTCTTGCTTTCAATCATCTCAAGCTGCCTCATAATCTCCACAGAAAGCTCATGCAGTACACCCCGGGTTGCCTCCAGGCCCCTGTTGCGTTCGATCAGTCCAGAGATAAAGGTTATCTCGGGGGAGTTGTTGTTCGTGCTTCCCCCGTGATGCTGAAGCCATTCTACCAGCACGGTGGGGTCTTCGGAATTCTGAAGGGCGCGAAGTAGAGGATAGCAGAAAACTCCTTGCTCAAGGCATCGGCAAAGACCGCGTTGGGTGGTGTACTAGTAGATGCATTTGATTAGTTCTATACGGTGTATCGTGGGCTGGCTTACATCCGCGGATGCTAGGCACTGGTAGTCATCTCCTAGTTGGTAGGCTCTTCCAATTAGGTTCATGAAGTGAGTTAAGTCGAGAGTGCTAATTTAGTTAGTATATATTTGCTTCCTGGGTGGTGCGTGCAAGGTGATTCAGGGGTAGGGATATGGCAACTTACCTGTTTTGCGTAGCTTCGTTCTGCATTAGTCGGGAGATGAGTACCAAGAGAGAACCGTTTTCTTGGATCTCTGTGATTAGTAGAGACCATATGGACGACTGAAGTGTGGATTTACGTACTGCCGTCGACCATTCTGAAATACTCTTCCTCCGTCGGAATGGTCTTGTGTCTAGCCCAGTGAAGGTCATGGGCTTGGCCGGCGAAGAGGTGGGCAAGTTGGTCTGAGGTAGACACTAGTTAAGTATAGCTATGTTTTGGTTTCAGATATGATAATATGACTGACCAGAAAAGATCAAGTATGCTGAAGCAGAAAGCTGCAGACAAATTCGCTGAGCGTAATTGATTTGGGACCATGCCGAGTTGATGGTTTGTCCTACGCCGAAGATGCGATGGACTGCAGGCTTGCCGCGACGGAGGGGGTTGACGTGTTGTACGTCGTTCAGCCTTCGAAATAGAAAAGTTAGGCCAGCTTTATAGGACAAAATGCAATTTTGGGACTTACATATGAGATGCCTCATGGAGCAGAGTTGCTATTCCGGAGACAATAGCTAACGAGGGCTGGGGAAGTTGGTACCACTCCTGGAGGGCGTCCACCAGTTGATTGTGAAGGCCTTTCGTTGGTGTGGAGTTGAGGTATTCGTATGGCTTCCATAATATCTATGACGGGTCAGTCTGGCCTATAAAACGAGTGATTATGGTGCGTACGGTGTCATCCAGTTTCGATGCTGGCGCCAATACTGGACTCTTTTGTTTCACATCTATACATGAAAATTAGTTCTAGTCCCGACTCGCATCACATGTAAAGTATATAACAAAGGGAAGCATACCTGAGATGTCCTCTCTTTCTGATAGCACATCTGGAGCATACTGCGTTATTTTCAGAGAGCTAAAGACAGAAGGGAAGTCGAAAGTTCCTTCGTAGGGATTCTGCACGTCTTGATGATATCGCAAAACGCGGATGCTCCACATTGCATTTCCAGCAATGGATAGCTCAACAATCCGAAACCACTTCTTAATCGCCAAGGTAATATCTGGTCTTTTGAGATATTCATCACGAAGACGGCAGTAACGTTCTTCATGCTCCTGGATAAGGTTGCAGACAATCTCCTTCGCGCTTTCTTCATCCGTATTATGTATCTCCATCACCAACTGCACGGCATTCACGAGTGGAGCGGATCCTTCCGATTTTCTTGTTTCCCGTTTCTCTATCTCCCAGGACCAGAAGTCATTTGTGATGGCTAGAACGGCATAAGCTAGATACGTAACTGGTCCGACTTTGTCGTATTCCTCTGGTGTGAGCACAAGACCACTAGACCAGGCCATAAAATGGACAACCCAGCTTCACATCTGCGTCAGCTGCGGAACGATCCTAATTTCAATAAGGGAGTCACTGACTTGGCAGCGCAATCCACGGCTCTGGTAGCCAGATAATCATCTATATCGGTGAAACACTTGTCACGAATCTGTTGTGCTGTCTCAAACCACTGTCTCAAAGCCGTTTGCGAGCGACTCAGATATGCAGGATCGAGCTCTTTCTGTATCGCCCAGATCTTCGCCATAATTTGCTGTTTTCTCTGAGAGTTCCCATTGACTGTGGTGATATCTTCGGCTTTCTCTGCCCCAAGAGCCCTTGTCAAGACTGGGTCTGTTAAGACTGGCCTTGCAGGCTGAATGGCATCGACTGACATGTCTGAAAACCAGGAAAACAAGAGTCAGCTCCTCAAAAGAATCACGGCGTTTGAGGCCTGGAAGGACCTCTCACCATCATCGAGAAACCCATACTCATTAAAATACGAGCAGAAGCCAATCCGTTCGGGTAGCGCCTCCGGGGCGCAGAGTGCTATGAAGTCTCCATCGTGTGCGTTCATTCCCCCGATCATCTTTCCCACCCCATCTCTCCCAAACAGGTCTATATGACACTCGATGCAAGCATCATGAGAGACTGAGTTGTAGTTGCTTATTCTGGGCTGGAAGCGGGTTAGAAGACGGCTCCTCAATGTATCATCCATGGGAGCGGGCTTCGAGTGGATGAAGGGTGAGAGATTGGATCCTGCTCCAGGCTCCACAGAGCCGGGGGTTTGTCGATGATCGTTCATTCTCGTTGAAACAAAAGTCACAGAGAGGTGAAATGGTGCTTATCTACGCTATGTATCGTTTCAATGCCCTTTCAATTCTTCATTTCTGGGAGAACCTAGAATCTATGAGCTACATAGTAGTTATATATTCGTACTTGGTATTATGTTCTGTGCACGTGCGAGGCACATAGCGGTTCCAATACCAAAGTTGTGCAGACTAGAATGGGCAATTCTGTCATTACTGCGACGAAGGAATAGAAGCAAGGGTTATAGTTGTGACACAATGCACAGTATCATCTAGTAGACCAGAGGCGGTACATATACCATCTTGGGCCATCAAAGCGGTTGTGTAATGATGTTGCTGATCATGTCACCGCCCCCTTCGATCCGTGAAACACATTCTCAGCTCAACAAAATAGATTCTGTGCCGCATTGGTATGCCAGAAGGCTTAATCTGTATTATAACTAGCTGGAGCTAAGCTTGACGTGATCTGGAAATACTTTGTATGTCATCTACCCGCAGTGTCAAATTAGACTCAAAGTTCTGTCAAGGAGATAATCTCCGTCGTCTTCGGCAGCAAGGGGCGAGGCCCAGGAAAGGGATAGATGCTTGCCAGTGGCTGCCTTTGAGGCATTTGTAGCAGAAATTAATACCGATGAAAGTCGTCGCTGTAGGTGGCTTGATTGAGAGTTTACTCCGCACTGGATAGGGTGCAAGACGAAGATCCCCATGTATCAAACCACAATTGGCTTGAAAGAAGTGATTTTAGTAGACACTAGACAACATGAATACTTTGGTGGATCCCCGTACAGGAATTGATAACAAATTTTGCTGGTACTCGGTGCGAACTAATTGCTGTCGTAGGTTATGGCGGACAATACTCTGAGGCGTGTTTCTGTCGCTATGAACATTGTTGTCTTGAATGGAAGTAAAATACCCTACAGCCTTCCCTAGGCACATAATAAATATCTCGATTTGACAATGTGCATAACACAACTTGAATGGCCAGCTGCCGTGAAATCCTCTGTCGTCACCACTAAGTAATGAATACTGCATCGTCGAGGTCCGTCAAATATTAGTGATTGACTACCCTAATAGTACCTTCAAATGCCAAGTCGCTGCTTAGATGGTAATATTGAGAGCCACGATACGGTACGTTAGCGAGACTTCAACAAATGATGAACATTGATGACCCGGAAAAGAGTAGTCATTAGATAGGGGTGATAGTGGGGATGAGACACAGTAGGCTTGGTCTGCTCGGGAGAGGTTGCACTACAGGTCAGCAAAATGCAGAGAATGTGCTAATATACCCCTACTGAATGGGGATCTGTACTTCCTCTCCTCTCGTATCCGGTGACAGACATCGTAGTGGGGGTACTCTATTGGACATTAGTCAGAATAACTGACGTCTCAGGATTCCAATGACTGACAGTATGTGTAATGACGACAGCAAATAGTACATGCTACTCAATGGTCACGGCAGGGCCTCTTTCAAGTGCCATCTTCACTCATCTTTAGCGGCTCTATGAGAAGGAAGATTTCATATACGCAGGAAATATGTCAACGGCCAGGAGTAAAACTGAAAGCCAAGTGTCACAGAAACAAGGTCTACTGTGCATAAGGTGGAAGTATCCCTCCTCTCTGTCAGTAACTTCAGGACTCTAACATAAGTGCCTATTTACGATCACACATACATCCGAAGGTTCTATATTATTCTATACTTAACATGGATCGACACAACCTGGAAGCTCAGCTTGGCACTATTAAGGTTCCTATAGTACACATCCCATGGGCAGGAGACTCCGCAGATGTGCTCCTCCTCGAAGCCAGCATGCTTGATTGGGCCGATCAGAAGGGCTTGTTGGTCGACGTAGCCTACCGCGAGCGAGTGAAGCGCAGTCGTTACGCCTGGCTAGCTGCCCGGTGCCATCCCAAGGCAGCACCAGAGCTTCTGTCAGTCATCTCGAAATTCTTCGTATGGTTGTTTGTCGTGGACGATCTCTTTCTGGATAGGGTGGACATTGTGACGCCAAACACGCTCTCCAACCTGACCGCCATAATCAACGTGGTTAATTTCAACTGCGCAAGGCCCGAGCCTGTATATGGCGAACTGGCGTTGCTTGACATCTGCCAGTCATTACGTCAACTGCTATCAGCGGAACATTTTGAGCGTTTCGCACAGGGAATAAAGCTCTGGGCCACGACTGCCGGCTTAGGGATTCTGTATCATCTCCAGGAAAGGCCGGTAGGTGTGAGCCAATATGAATCCATCCGCCGCCATACAAGTGGCGTGGAATCTTGTCTAGCGTTGGCAGATGCGTCGAATTGCGGTCCCATCAGTTCAGATGAGTTCTATCGACTGAACGTGCAGGAACTTCGTCGCTATACGAACAACATTGTCTGCTTGGCAAATGATATTCACAGCTCCATTGTTGAGTCACGCCAACCGGGTCACTTCTGGAACATGGTCCACATTCGAGCGGCGGATGGTTACACCTTGCAGGAGAGTCTTGACCATACAGTTGCGAGTGTATATGAAGAACTAGAGAGATTTCAGAAGCTGGAGCACCACATCTTGCAAGATGCAACCCCACAGTTGTGTGGCCTTGTGAATGGTTGCAAGCAATGGATTCGTGGGTATGTGGACTGGGTGGCGCTGGATACTAAGCGATACCAGGCGGCATATGCTGTTGGTGATGCTGATGATCGAAATGTTCTTCACGCCCGTCACATGCGAGCACTGTTCGCAACCCCTTCTGGCTGAGTTGAAATGTGGCCGTGCCCAGATGGCATATGATTCCAAAGAGCTATGCTTTTAGAAGTTATACCAAACATTGACAAGAGGTATGTCTCCAAGATTCTTTTTAGTATATCCCACATAGAATAGTGAGTTCCTAGGTAGCACTAGCGCTCACGTCAGCATACACTACCAGTCAACGAGGGCGAATCAAACAATGACATTTGGTGCGTATACAGGCATAGTAGTAGTAGCCTTACTGCCATGTTTAAAGAAGCATTACTATTTGTTGTCAACTTAGGCAACAACTTATTTGGGGGGCACCCTATGTGAACGTATGCTAGGCTCCCACCATGCCACAGTTTATTTATATGTCATGCAGCGCGGCTAGTATGATGCCGTCACCATACACAACTCAAAGACGATCAATCTCTACAACTATTCACATATCCGTACATTTCGAACTGCCCCTATACGAATAAAGATACGGCAAGACACACACCATGTCCTCGACCACTTTTGCCTCCGAAGCCACCACCTTCGAATCGGCCCTAACCAGCCTCTTTAGCGGTCCACCTGAGACTACCGAAGCCGATCTGGCCAAGCTCTTCACACCCAATTTCACACAACGCGACGATGAGACAACGCGCGACTTCCCTGCCTTTGTTGCACACATCAAGTGGCTACGAGGAATTCTTCCACCAGGAAGTGTGACGCTCAAGATTACGCAGTTCCTGCGCGACGGCAATCAATTTGCGGATAGACACAGCTCTACCATGACGATGCCAGATGGAAAAGTGGGCGCCGCAGAGACGTTTATGTTCGGGGAGGTGGCGGAGGATGGGCGGATCGAGTGGGTTGTGGAGACAGTGAAGCGGAAGTAGTGGATGTGATGATTGGGATAAGTCCGGCGGGATGAGGTATTATTCTTGTGTGATTGCTAAGTGACTTACTCATTGTTCTAATGTGAGTTTGATTGCGATTACTAAATTTTAATATGCGAGTGAGAGGGAGTCAATGGCGTTATCCAGGCAGCTGCATACAATACTACATTCCCCTCACGGTTCGCACCACCTCACGAGGGAAACCTGGCCATCTCGGCAAACAATGGTATCATCCGAGCTGGTTCCCCTCAATTATGGTCTTGATAAGCCACTATTGCTGCAGAACGCCTATCTGTGCCGTTAGTGTCTCCATAGTGTCCACAGTGCTTTTTCTGCCGATTAATCTATTCCCAGACGGACTCCGTCGCTCCTCCGAATGCTGGGTGCCGCGGCTAAGCTCTGCTGTAGCTTGCATTTGCTGCAGGAACATCTGCATCCCTTCAAACTTTTAAGGGGTATCTTATCTTCATTCTCGCACTGAGATGCAGTTACTGTGCCGTAATTCGTCCCATTATAAGCTTTCTGGCGGCTTCAAACTTCCAGGGAAATTATAGGGTTGGCGGGAATGCCTTCACCGCGTCCCTGCATGCAAGGGATGCATCATGCACCGTGACCTGTTCCACCACGCCGGAGCCCGCCCGCCCTCCGACGGCCCAAACCCACTGCAGAATGGCTTGATCGCTCTCCATTTCCATAACTAACCGGCCGTTCCTCGTCATTGTTTGCTCTGCTCTCCACCCAGGGTCGTTTTTGCTTTTGCCTCCCCGATCATGGTCGCTTTCTCCCGCCTCTCGGCAGGCCTCGCCCTTGCCGCCCCCGTGCTGGGCAGTGTCGTTCTGGAGACCGTCAAGTCTGTCCCCAGCGACTGGAAGCTCGTCAAGGCCGCTGATACCAGCTCAACCATTTCTCTGTCTGTGGCTCTGGCGCGCCAGAACCTGGAACAGCTTGAGGAGAAGCTCCTGGCCGTGTCCACCCCTGGCAAGGACACGTACGGCCAGTTTTTGGATCTGGACGACATCAACGAGCAGTTTCCTCTCGCTGATGACGCTGCTGTTGTTTCTTGGTTAAAGAAGAACGGCGTCACCAAGATTCACAAGGAGGGTGGTCTGCTGAACTTTGCGACCACTGTGGGCACAGCGAATCAGCTTCTCAACACCACCTTCTCGGTGTACAAGAGCGGATCTACCCAGAAGCTGCGCACAACGAAGTACTCTGTTCCGGATGATCTGGCTGGGTCCATTGACCTAATTTCGCCAACTGTTTTCTTTGGAAGATCTAACGCTGCCCGCTCGGCGGCCGTGCGTGCTTCGCAGACGACCAAGGAGAGCAGCGGCAAGAGCAGTGATGTGTGCGAGTACATCACCCCGGATTGTCTCAAGGAGCAGTATAGCATTGACTACACGCCCGAGAAATCTTCGGGAAGTCGTGTTGGGTTTGGCAGTTTCTTGAACGAGTCGGCCTTGTACTCGGACTTGGATCTGTTCACCCAGTACTTTGACATTCCAGAGCAGAGCTTCACTGTTGAGACGATCAACGGGGGAATCAACGACCAGGAGAATGATCCTGATGGTGAAGCTGACCTCGATGTGCAGAACATCGTTGGCATTTCTCATCCCTTGCCGGTGACGGAATATATTACCGGTGGATCTCCGTGAGTATGCTGAAGACGAGAATCATGATCAAGGCTAATCAGGTTGGTTAGTCCGTTCATTCCCGATGTCGAGACCACGACCGACGAGAACGAGCCTTACCTGCAGTACTACGAGTACCTGCTGGCCAAGACCAACGACGAGCTGCCGCTAGTCATCAGTAACTCGTACGGCGATGACGAAGATGTAAGCATCCCTACCTTCAACACGAGATGCCTGCTAACAGGATAGACTGTCCCCATCGCCTACGCCACTCGCGTGTGCAACTTGATCGGCCTGATGGGCACACGTGGTATCTCCATTCTTGAATCGTCTGGCGACTCTGGTAAGCTTCCCCCATTCCATAAACATGACGAAGGCACTAACAGATCCAGGTGTTGGCGGCGCATGCATGTCCAACGACGGCACCGACAAGACGGAATTCACCCCCATGTTCCCAGGAACATGCCCTTACATCACCGCGGTCGGCGGCACCCAAGATGTGCCCGAGGTTGCCTGGGTGGACAGCTCTGGCGGCTTCAGCAACTACTTCTCACAGCCGTCGTACCAGTCGGATCAGGTGGAGACCTACCTGGACAAGTACATCTCGGCGTCAACGAAGAAGTACTACGAGCAGTACACCAACTTCAGCGGTCGCGCGTTCCCTGACGTGTCTGCGTTTGCAGGATCGCCTTAGTATGTAGCCTTTCCAGTTGAGTGTAAGGATGTTTGCTAATGTGAACAGCTACGAAACCTTTACCGATGGTCAACTCGGCCTTGTGGCGGGTACCTCTGGCGCTAGCCCTGTGTTTGCGGGTGTCGTCGCGCTGCTGAACGATGCCCGTCTGCGGGCTAACAAGACATCTTTGGGTTTCTTGAACCCTTGGCTGTACTCTAGCGGCTACAAGAGTCTGAACGATATTACCAGTGGCGAGGCAGTGGGCTGCCAAGGCGATGTGGAGGGCGCTGGAGTGATCCCGTGGGCGAGCTGGAATGCCACGACGGGATGGGATCCGGCGACAGGGCTGGGAACGCCTAATTTCGCCAAGTTGAAGGAGGCGGCTCTTGCTTTGTGAAGAGGATACAATTAGGCACTGAGTGGACGTGCTGGAGCGGGCAAACATGTGCGAGGCGTTAACTTATAATAACCTGTGTGTGGACTAGACAAGCATGGACAGAGCACAACCAATTAGCGTTTCCATACTTGCCACCCTTAAACTAAAGACAATCAATCGATTACCGCTGTCAGTCTCAAGTCGGTCATGTCATGGACCCTGTTCGATCAATCTGAAACAAGCTTAATCTAACAGCGGCGGTGATGAAACCGCCAGCGGATACTTGTTTCAGTTTACCCGCAAGCCTGTATCCAGTATCCAAGCCCTACTTAAACCTGTTACTGCCCATGAATCCATTCACTCTCTAACCACCATTCTTTTCTTCATTGTGCCGGTCACATACATTCTTTACTTCCATTCTCTTCTCTTCTCTACTTCCACAAGTCACTCATTATATACCACGCAAGTATCACCATGAAAGGAGCCGCCTTCCTCGCCTTCCCCGCCTCCACACTGGCCGGATCCGTACTGTGGAGCGGCATTTTCAACTCGTCCTATACTGTCGCTGACTTCGATGAATGTATTGCTTTTCCTTTCCCTCCTTCCCTCACGCCAACACTACTAAGAAAGAAACAACAGGGTCATGGAGCAACCAAATCGCGCCTTGGCAATGGTACATCCACGGCGACGGCGAAACCTCGGAATACCTAGCCCTATCCAGCGACTACAAGAACCCAGCAGCGAGCGATGCCCAGGGTCTGCGTACCAGACTTGTACTCCTCCCATACCTTTATCCTCCTCGAAACCCACAAACTAACCCGTCCCCCTCGGGGGATAATACAGGACAAAACCTCCTTCTGGGAAGGCCAATCTATGCAACGCACCGAACTGATCCCCCAAATGTCCCCCTCATCCTCCGCCTCCGACCTGGGATCCGGCCACCTTTACTACCACTTTTCCCTAAGCGCCAGCAGCACGAACCCCCCGTCCTCGTCAAGCGAGCACCAAATCGCCTTCTTCGAGAGCCATTTCACGGAGCTGCAGTACCAGGATAACACGCTGAAGTGGAATGCCGGAGGGGATACGCATTACTCCGTGGAGTTGGAGACGGGCAAGTGGTACAACTTCGCGTACGATATTGATTTCGATAATCAGAAGGTTGGACTTTGGGCGTCGAATGGATCGGATGCCTTGACGGAGGTGGTTAGTCCCGTTAGTGCGAGTGCGAGCTCCAATGGGGCGGATTTCCATGTCGGTGTGTTGAGTTTGACTGGCGATGGGACCGAGGATTGGTTCTGGAGCGGGGTTTATATTGAGAAGGGCGATTTGACGAAGAGTATTGGGGATGGTAGCAGTGCTAGTGCTAGTGGTAGTGAAAGTTCTTCGACTACTGTTGCTGCTGCTACTACTACCTCTGCTACTTCGTCTGCCACCTCTGCTACTTCGTCTGCCACCTCTGCTACTTCGTCTGCCACCTCTGCTGTCACTACATCTGCCGAGGCTACCACTGCTGCCGCTGCTACCCCTACTCAGGATGTGGCTGTTGCTTCGTCTTCTACCAGCGCTGCTTCGACGACCTCGGTTGCGACTACCTCCAGCTCCGAGTCTACTGCCGCGGCTACCCCCTCTGCTTCTGCCCCCGTCATCGCTACGCCCTCTGCTGCTCCCTCTGCTGCTGCTGCCTCTGGATCTGCCGCTCTTCCCGTCCCAACGACCGCCTCTGAGATCCTCACTGATGTGCGCGCGCTGTTGACTGCCCTTCTGACTCGTCAGGGAGTGCATGCTCGTGATTTTACTGTTTAGACGATTCCCTTCATTGAGATGGGTGGGTATATAGTGTGGCTGATGAGATTGTATTACTTGGTGTGTTTGGTGTGAATCTTAACCAGTTAATGTGGGTATCACCACACAAGTGTCTCTTTCTTCTGACGTCCGTTGATAAGCTGCTCTGCTTGGTTCTCTACCCATCGCTCAATCTGTAAAGGTTAGTGAAGTGAAAGACCAGACCGGATCGCAGACACGCACATTCGTAAACTTGCTCGATAGCCATACTGCCACCGTCAATAGTAGTAGAACTCCTCCAATGAGAGGATACCAGCGCCATGAAGGGTTGTCGCTGAGGACATCCACGTTCATGCCGAATAAACTCTGCTCAGTTAGATTAGAAAATGTCAGAGGATTCTGGTATGCTCACCGACGCAAATGTCAAGGGAAGAAAAATGAACTACCCATCCGTTAATCGCCATGATTGAAACAAGAAAGCAGACATACCGTAATCCAACTGAGCCGTTTCATGCTCGTCGCCAAGCTAGTCGACCGGTGCGCCTCATTAATTGACACCCACGCAAATTCCTACCAATATTAGCCGTACGCTCATCAACTGCCATGATGGAAAGCGTACAATCTGCAGCAAATCGCGCACCGTCTGCTCTAGCTTATCAATCTGCCCTGATATCTCTTTGTCTAACCCATCTATCATACTCTGCATCTTTTCACTAAACTTGCGCGTCTCGCTGAACCGCTGGTACTGCGTGACAAAATACCTAGCCTGACTAAGCTGCTCGGCCAACGATGCTTGAATTTGCGTCCATTGCTGCATGCTTTCCGCGATGGAGTCAATAAGGCGGTCATCTTTGCCTCGGGCAGTCAATTGATGTGTTCGCTACATAATTAGCAGTCGCCCAACATAAAACTTCTCAAGAACATACCAGCCGTCCCAAGTACCCCCGAGCCTCCCGGCAAAACGCGATCCAGTCGTCCCGCCATGTTTGCATAAACAGCTGCACCAGCTCCAGGTCACTCTCAGGGATCCATCCGTATGACAGATTGCTGAAGTAGTGGATAGTCTTCTGAGGCGCTTCCAGAACGGCCCATTCGATGATGCGGACCTTGCGGTCGACGTCCTGGTCGTCGGTAAAGGAGGTCCCGATCTTCATGTCTAGGCGGACAAACAGTGAGAACGTTCGACAGGGACTTTTATTTCCGAGAGAGAATTGCAGCTCATTTGGCGTATCGGTCAGTTGGCAATATGTGTTCCAATAATGATTTTCCCGGAAGAGGCTGAATTTCATGAGCATTACGTCTTCATAGAGCCATTATTCGCTGACGAACTTACAGAAGGTGTGTCTCGTCCGCCGTCTTTGGCATTGCCTTTATGTCTTGGTACAAAGTATCGTCGTTGATCCAACGCGCCGCACGCCGTCCATCCCGGAAGACCATGATATCCACGGCGACGCTTGATTTTAGCCCACGGCTGTAGCGCCCATCGTAGCCATCGTCAAGTGCCATCATTTGCCTCCGATGACTTAACAATGCTGTTAATGTGGCACGATCACCATCCGGGATAGTCATATCCATCACGGGAATTGAAGCACCATCGGTTCGGGCGTGAGCCAACAACAGATTCGCTGATGCTCCGGCCGTGCTGCAGGGACCAAACCAATCGCTGTTTTCCAGCCCATCCACACCCGCCTTGTGTTCTAGAAGCACAGCGACAGTCGAGCGATCAGCCTGCTGCAGCGCCCACCTCATCAGGGGAATCGGACTCGATTCATCCTCGTTGCTCAGATCTGGCTTGTACCGCTCCAGGAATGGTTTCAGCAATCGAGCTCGGCTCTCTTGGACCATCAGCTTTAGTGACACAACATCGTGCTTACGATCCGCGGCGTCCCCGCAGCCAGACATCAGCATGTCCGCTATCTCGTAGTGACTCCATTCAAGCGCGTACACTAGCGGAGTCTTCCTGTAACGATCAATGGAGTTAGGGTCTGCCCAGGTCGTCTTCAACAGCTCCTGTACAAGCGCTGTATCGCCGCGTTCACTCGCCCAGGCTAGAAAGGTTCGTCGGGCCTTGGTCATGGGCTCCACCCCATGTGTCGGTCCGAGAGCGGCGAGCCACTGCTGAAAGTCCTCCGAATGCTGCCCAGTTGACTCTCGTCTCTTATTATGGTTACTGATGACCCACCAAAGTGGAATCTGCCCCTCGTGGTCGTGGATATCGGCGCTAGCCCCGTGCGCAACTAATGCGCGCACGGTATCCAAGTGCCAGTTTTCGGCAGCCCATGATAGCGGAGTCCGGCCCCGGCTGTCCTTGCTATCTGGATCCGCTCTGCCAGTGGATAGCAATAACTGCACGATGGTGCAGAGTCCTTGTCCCGCTGCACGTGATAACGGCGTACGACCACGGGAGTCTGCGATATCGGAGGACACTCCCTTCTTCAAGAGGAGGTCTACCATTTCTCGATCCCCACCTTTCACGGCCCAGTGGAGAGGTGTTTCGCCATGGTGGTCACCAAGATCGGGATTGGCACCTCTGTCCAGGAGATACTGCAACAGAATATCGCAATCCTTCTGCTTTGTCAAGGACTGGACCTGTGAGAGATCACAGGATGCGGCCCAGGAGAAGGCCGTCCGACCGGTCTGGTCTTGGACGTTGGGGGAAACGCCATAGAGGAGGGATTGAACCTCGGGAAGCAAGCCTCGGTGGGCGGCCCGCATAAGCTGGTCAATACGGTCATCGTCCAATTCCAAGTAGATGGCTGCAGGAGACTTTTCCATGCTTATGTACATTAGGTAGCATCAGCGGAGGAAGAGGTCTTCGTGGGATGAAGCGATGGAGTCAGCCTCAGCCTCGCGGGGGCGTTCGCCGCCGCTTATTGGTCGGAAGATCAGCATAGCGGCATGGCATCCAAGAGCTGTCCAGAAATTATATCTGGAGTCTGTAGGGCTGATCCATGATAGTATTTGGGAGGATATGAAGTGAGCAGACACTCTCTAAGTGTATCCATTGCCACTGTGATCACAGCTTAGGCTCGAGGGAAGGCGCTTGCTGGGGAAAGCACGCGCAATGCGTCCAAGCTAGTTGACTAGTGCTTGTCCACTGCTGGGACTGAAGCGTGGACTTCAGAGATGAGATATCGGCAACTAAGGTGCGTCGGCAGTCGGAATACTTCCGAATGCTAGACCGTCATTTGGATGGCTTGAGAGTCAACAAGATGAAGCTTAATCTTTTTTCCGCAGGAATCAGAACCCCGGAGTAAGGCGTGCTTTTCCCTGCAGAATACGAGAGGTCGAGCCAACCCCACATATAAGTAAGGTTAAATTGCCCGTAGCAGCCGGGCCATGTGTCGTTCGCCAGACCCCAGCGTCAACATTCTGACGAAACATGGTGGTGGTGACCATGAGAATGCTATAGAGGATGGCGGTACACGTGAGCGAATTTCTGCCCCAGGCCATACACACGTGACGAGATCACAACAGCGGGATCTGGAGAGGAGACTAATCCAAACCGAGACTAGGTCAGGCTTCCATAAATGCTTGATAGGATTCCAGTACGTAAAGGTTTGAGAGGCCACGAGGGACGTGCCCATCCTGGAAGCATCCCCGAACCGTCCACAGCAGCTGCTCGAACCATCAGGCCATTGGTGCAGCTATCATTTCAGCTTGATTATCTCGGTTAGCTACGGAGTCAGAGGCAGGTGGATAAATCAGACGTCTCGTTGGGAGTTTAGACACTACTGCATGAGGATGAGTGCAGCAGCAGTAGCAGCAGGCAAAGATATCCTCCCAGGGACGGAATCGGGCTGATAGCAGCGTGAGTGTATCCGGATAATTCTTTTCGGCCTCCACCCACTTGGCTTCGTCGAAGCTCCACTGCCAAGACCCGCAAAGCCTTGGCATCTTATGATTATCAGACCTGATTGGTTGCGGCTGATGCCGTTATCAGTGCTGGCGGTGGTGTCATCTCCGACTTGCCTCTATCAGTTTCATATCTTTGACTCCCGATATCTCATTTTATTTCCACTTCCTTCATCAATAATATACCAGTCGTACTTTCCATGGTCCAGGTTAGTTTATCTTCTGAGACATCATCCGGACCAGTCAGAGCACGCAATGCTTGGCCCTCACTGGACCTCATCCATTGGCCAACTCGGTCCCTGAACTTGCTTTTTTTCTCCATCCTTCTGTTACGGCCCCCCCGAGCCAGCCTTAACCCCAGCTCTCTCGGTGACACCGAGCCTCACTCCTTTCCAGCCCGCATACTTGCTTTTTACAAGCCATCCTGCGTGGTTGGGAGCTGAGATAGAGTAGACGCCCCCTACTCGCCATGTCCACCTGCCACCCCTGTGCCTCTCCAGGAGAGACGCGTGGGAGTGCGGGGATTGTGGAAGATCCCACGGTTGGACATCCATCCGGCTGCATTAGCCACCACACTTGCCGCGTTGGCGAGAAAGCTAAATAGACTAGTTTAGCCGGTGCCATCAGACATGACTAGTGGTCCCGTTCCGATTCAATCCACCTTCAGATAGTCCGATAGCAGCGTCGCTTCCCACTGCGAGGAATCCACGATGTCTAGTGGAAGCTAATCCTGCTCGTCCGCCACCATGCAGGGACTTGGACAAATGATCGCGCGTACTTCAGATGACTCTCTCGTATGGACGTAACCTCATTTGCCCACATTGCTTCCCCCAGTTTCTTATCCACTCTGGACCACATGCCAGTCGGGCTGCAACGGCCATGTTTGCCACAGAAACATGGTACAGAGCAGGTCCGGGTGCCAGCTGTGTGCGTTCTAGATGGACGCTAGAACCTCCCTGGATAAGCCTCCCCACTGCCTGGCCGCATAGACAGCGGCGAAGAAGTGCACCAACCCATCGCGTGATACTGGCCGTCATGCAAAGTAGATAGTGGCTACCATCCACATTGGGTCCCGATCTCCGACGCTGCACCGGTGGAAATTAGGCCTTGGCACTAGCCAGCTTCGAGACATCTGGAGTAGTCTCCGCGCACTGATAGTGGCCCCGAAGCGAGCCTGTCGCAGCTTACCCAAATGCAACACCCAACCGGTTCACTAGGTCGCTTGTCTCTCGGCTGCTTGTCGCCTCCCAGGCTTTATTAGTTCCTTGTTCCCCAGGCTGATCCTTTTTTTTTTCTTGTGCGATCGTCTTTCCCATCCATTTTCCATCCCTCCAGCTAGACCCTGTCAGGGCCCGTGTTCGCCAAGATGAGTGATCCCGTTGGCGCAGACGATCTGGTCTATGTCGCACAGGCCCATGCTCCCCAAAAGGAGATCCAGGCAGTTGAAGAGAAGAAGGAGTCTCATCTCCCAATTAACGAGAAAGAAACCGCGGTGGTGTCGGCCGTGCCATCTATCCACGATGTCCACGATGATGGGCGCGAGTACCCAACCGAGGAAGAGGAGCGGACACTGCGTCGAGTCTCTGACACGGTCAGCTGGACAGCTTACACGGTCGCGTTTGTCGAACTGTGCGAGCGCTTCTCATACTATGGAACCACTGCAGTTTGTATGTGTAGCAGGAGGTTGTGAAAAGCTGTGTCTAACCCTGAATAGATGTCAATTTTATCCAGCAGCCTCTCCCCGCCGGCTCCACCACGGGTGCCGGGTACAGTGGACAGTCGGGTGCTCTGGGCCAGGGTGAACGGACCTCCACTGCACTGACTACCTGTAAGCCTCTTCTAACATCGCGAATATGAAAAATATATTAACTGAGTCTCAGTCAACACCTTCTGGTGCTACGTCATGCCCATCTTGGGTGCCTGGATTGCCGATGAATACTGGGGTCGTATGCGAACCATCCAAGTCTCCATTGGCTTTGCTATGCTTGGTCACATTATCATCATCATCTCCTCTATCCCCCCGGTTATTGTACATGCGAACGGTGCATTGGCTTGCTTCGCTGTTGGTCTGGTGATTTTCGGTATTGGTGTGGGTGGATTCAAGTACGTACTGTTAATCCTCCTCGAGGAGTCAAGCCTAACCGCCACAGATCCAACATCTCGCCCCTGATTGCCGAACAATACAAGGAGACCAAACTCTTTATCAAGACCATTCCTAAGACCGGTGAGCGCGTCATCGTCGATCCCGCGCAGACCATTACTCGCATCTTTCTCTACTTCTACTTCATGATCAACGTCGGCTCCCTTATCGGATCCGTGGCCATGGTGTACGCAGAGAAGTACGTGGGATATTGGCTGGCGTTCCTTTTGCCGACCATCATGTTCGGTATCTGTCCAATTGTTCTGTTCTTCTGTCGCAAGCGGTACACGGTGACGCCCCCGACTGGATCGGTTGTGACCAAGGCTTTCCAGCTGTGGAGCCTGGCTCTTCGTGGCCAATGGTCCTGGAACCCTGTCACATTGTAAGTCTATCACAAGCATTGTTGATAACTTTGCTAACGAGATCAGCTACCACCGCTGCAAATCTACCGAGTTTTGGGATAGTGTCAAGCCTAGCCGTCTTGCCAACAAGCCCAGTTGGATGACTTTTGATGACAACTGGGTCGAAGAAGTGCGCCGTGCCGTCAAGGCCTGTGCTGTCTTTGCCTGGTACCCTCTTTACTGTTAGTCTCCCCATCTCGACCTGAAGCCAGGTGTTCATTCTAACTGATCCCCGCAGGGCTGGCCTACGGACAAATGACCAACAACCTGACCTCTCAGGCGGCCACCATGCAGTTGCACGGCGTGCCTAACGATATCATCAACAACCTGGACCCCCTTGCCCTCATCATCTTCATCCCGATCATGGATCAGTTCGTCTACCCGGGTCTTCGCAAGATGGGCTTCCACTTCACCCCGATCAAGCGTATCTATGCTGGATACCTGCTGGCCTCCGCATCCATGATTGCCGCTGCCGTCACGCAATACTACATTTACAAGCTGAGCCCATGTGGCAACCACCCCAGCACCTGCGACGAGGCCGCTCCCATCAACGTGTGGGTGCAAGCAGTGCCTTACGTGCTGATTGCCTTTTCGGAAATTTTCGCCTCCATTACTGGTTACGAGTATGCGTATACCAAGGCGCCGAAGAACATGAAGAGTTTGGGTAAGCCCTCTTCCCTGCATGTGTCAATTAAACTGTTACTAACAAGTACTAGTTCAATCTCTTTACCTCTTCATGAACGCCATTTCATCTGCTATCCAGCAGGGTCTTACCGCCCTGTCAACCGATCCCCTCTTGATCTGGAACTATGGGTTCGTCGCCGTGCTGGCTTTCGTCGGTGGAAATCTCTTCTTCCTCTGCAACTTGAAGCTTGATAAGGAGGAAGACGAGTTGAACAACATCGAGGAGTCGGCATATCTGGGACGCAACGCGGGCGAACCTGGAAAGATCGAGGCGTAGTGATCACGGTGTATGATTTATGGTGATGGATACAATGTATACTTAATGCATGAGTTATGCTATATTAATAATATTGATGTCTGATATTACATGCTTTACATGTCACCTACTTTGCTCCACTGGCAATATTTGACCGAATCTATACTATTGAAGTAAGTTATGACATCATTCCGTCCACCCGTCAATCTTCCGTCGGATGTGGATATGTTTGTCTCAACCGACACTATATATAGCTTCCAAGACTTGCTAAATAGTACTAGTATACGAGGTGACTCAACAAGAACCCGCAAAGCACACGCGGCCAGGATCTTGGCTTCCGCCATGCCTCGACTCTTATATACTAACGATGTCCCAACTACTTACCTGCAAGCTACCCACGAAACATCGCAGCTACTACTACTACCACCATGCAATCCACCCAAGAACCCGCCGACATCGCCATCGTCGGCGCCGGCATTGTCGGCTCAGCCCTAGCATACTACCTCTCCAGCAACAACAAAACCAAGAAAATCATCCTCGTTGACCGCTCCCTAACCCCCCTCAACGGCTCAACCGGCCACGCTCCCGGCTTCGTCGGCCAATACAACGACAGCGCCATCCTCACCCGCCTCGCCAGAGACACCGTGCAGGAGTACACCACGATCGCAGGCGGCTTCGACACCATCGGCGGGATCGAGCTGGCTACGAGCCAGACAGGCGCAGAGCGTCTCCAGCGCCGATATGATTCGGCCAGAGCAGCAGGCCTCCCTGCCGAACTTATCTCCCCGGAGGAAGCAGCCCGCATGGCCCCAGCCCTAATCAAGAAGGAGGATGTCACAAGTGCGTTGTACTTCGCCAGTGATGGTGCAGCAAATGCTACCTGTATCACGAGGTTCTATCAAGATGAAGCGCGCGCTAGAGGCGTCGAGTGCATCGAAGCAGATATTACTGGTATTCATAAAGATGGCAATTGTCGCGTAGATGGCGTGAACACAGGTACAGCTGGATTCATCCCCGCTAAGACTGTCATCCTCGCTACGGGTATCTGGGCCCCTGAGCTTCTACCTGACATTAATACCCCTATCCCCATCGTCCCTGTCGCTCATCCATACATGTACGGGCCTTACCACGACCAGAAGAAGGTACCATCCCTATGGATTCGCTGGCCCGACCACCACGTCTACGCGCGCGACCACGGCCCCTTCTACGGCCTCGGCTCATACAACCATGCCCCTGTCGCGCAGGAACCAAAGGATACAGCCATCGGCGAGTGGATCTCTGAGTTTGACAACACTTTGAAAGACGCGCTGGGATTCATCCCACCCGAAACTGGTCTTACCCCCAGAAAAACATTCAATGGGATTTTCTCCATGACGCCTGACAATTTGCCCCTTGTGGGTGAGGTTCCTGGGTTAGAGGGCGTGTATCTGGCTGCTGCGGTGTGGGTTACGCATGCGGCAGGCACTGCGAGGTTTTTGTGTGATGTGTTGGAAGGGAAGGAGGTGGATGGGGAGATCAAGAGGGGGTTGGATCCGGGGAGGTTCGCGGGGAGGGATGGAAAGACACTTAGGAAGGTGGCGTTAGGGGGGTATAATGAGATTTATAGGGTTGGTGGTGCAGAGTTGTGATAATGGAGATAGTGTGTTGAGTGCAGATTACTTGGATCGGAGATATCGATGTTACTAGATGATGACAGATTCACATAAGCACCATAAATATACACCAACCATTCTCATTCGTGCTCGCAGATAACCTTCATGGATCCTTTCATTTTCGTAGACGAATATCCCGAATACGGGGACTTAAGCGCTTAACTCCGGTGTCTCCGTTCAGCTACCAACATTTAAGGCATGTACCATCTCCTCGCACTGTAGCTTTGTATAATACATCACTGTCAATCTTAACTTCTATACACAATGCGCACGGAACCATATCAGACATGGCTCATCACCGGAGCCTCAGGCCTAGGAAAGGCCATTGCCGCCGCGGCCCTCACTGCCAATCACAGGGTCATTGGCACGACGCGCGACATCGACAAAGCTGAGACTTCTTATCCTGAGTTCGCTTCCAATGGAGGGATCTGGGTATGTCTCAATCCTGCCCAGCATGATGCGTATGAGCGGTTTTCGAGGGTAGCTGTGGAGTATAATGTGGATGTGTTGGTGAATAGTGCGGGGTATGCGTTTATTGGGGCGGTGGAGGACACCAGGTACGCTCTTGTCTTAACACCCTTTCCTGACATATGCAACATCTACAAAGATGTGGTCATGGAATTAGCTGATTCATTCTTTAGTGAAGAAGAAGTCCGCGCCCAAATGGAAGTCAACTTTTATGGCCCCCTTCGGGCCGCGAGGGCTTGTGTGCCTATTATGCGTGAGAAGGGGTCGGGACATATTATTCTTATTAGTAGTGGAGCTGGGTATGTCAACTCAAGTTATTTCATGAAACCATGCCTAACTACCCGGATTCAAAAATAAAGATTCATCGCCCGCCCCGCCCGCTCCACCTACGCCGCCAGCAAATTCGCCATCGAAGCGATCTACGAATCGCTCTCCCAAGAAGTTAAACCCTTCGACATCAAAGTTCTAATAGTCGAGCCCGGTGCATTCCGCACCCCATTCCCGGGCCGACAGGTCTTTCCTAGTGGACCTGGATTGGAGAATGGATACAGTAATGTATACAAGGGCACACGCCGGTTGAAGAGATGATGGCGTTATCGAAGGATATGGACGCAGCGACGAAGTGGATTAAGGGCGATCCCGAGAAAGCGGCTAGGGCTCTGGTTGTAGCTGTTGATAATGGATATGCTGGATATGGGTTTTTGAGAATGCCGTTGGGGAGGGATTGTGTGAGGGTGTTGGAGGAGAAGATCGCGGCGTTGCAGGCGGATTTGGAAGCTACTAGGAAGGTGGCGATGGGGACTGATGTTGATTTTGATGAGTGAGGTGGGGAGTGTGTATAAAGTTCGAAGATATGTAGCTGGTTGAGTTGTATTTTGAGATGGGGTGGGTTGGAATACTTTCAAGGGCTGGTTGATGATGACCTTGGCAGGTTAGATTTATACCTTCGTGTTACAGTCTGATATGCACACAGTATTCATAGATAATGACCGAGTGTTCCACAAGTAGTAGTAGCGTTTCACGCTGGAATAATACAGTATCGAGTCTCGCACCTCATAACTACTCAAGGACCGGTTGCCTGCACTAAGGATGCACCAATGCCTTCCGAGAACCCTAAATCATTAGTCTGCTTTAGCATGCAGCCATGCATCCACCGTCATACTTAAACACCGTCTCCCTCGTATTCATCCCTCTTTTCAACAACTTCCTACCTACTCGCAACTACAATAACGATGCTCTCTGTTCTCCTCATCGCCATCCTCCCCATCATCTACCTCATCCACGAATACTTCACCGACCCCCTTTCTCGCATCCCCAACGCTCACCCCCTCTGTCCATATACCACCAAATGGATAACCCACCACCGCAACCGCACCACCGAAGTGAAAGCCATCTACACCGCCCATCGCGCCCGCGGGCCCATAATCCGCCTCTCCCCTACCGAACTCAGCATCAATTCGCTTGAAGGCCTGCGGGCAATCTATACGCAGGGCGCGTTCGAAAAACATGCGTTTTATGCTGACACATTTATAAACTTCCATACGCCGAACATGGTTGGTATGCTGGAGAATAAAGCTCACGGGGAACAGAAGAGGTTGCTCAGTGGGATTTATGCCAAGAGCTATCTGCTCAGGTCGGGGGATATTAAGATTCTGGGGCGGGAGATGGTAGTTAGGAGGTTGGGGGAGTTCTTGAAAGGAGTCGTTGCGAAGGGTGCGGTGTTCAATGTGTTGCCTGTTTTTCAGGCTGTGGGAATGGATTTTACCTCTGGGTTTGTGTTTGGAGCGCAGGGTGGGACGAGGTTCTTGGAGGATCTGGCTTCTTGGGGAGTGTGGTTGGGGCAGTATGAGGCTTTTAAAAGCTTAAGCAGGGAGGATAGGTTTATGGGCTTTGTGGAGAGGTGGTGTTTAGGGTTGTGTGAGGGGGTTGGTCTTCTGAAGGAGGATGGAGGCCTGGTGACGCAGCCTGTGGTTTATGATCGGCTTTGGGAGGGATTGGAGGAAAAGAAAAAGGTATCTGGCGAGGATATAAATTTGAAGTTAGCCGTTGCATCGGAGATATTGGATCATTTGGTGGCGGGGCATGAGACGACTGGTATTACCATCACGTATATCATGTGGGAGCTGTCGAAGAGGCCGGATTTGCAGACAAGACTGAGAGAGGAGCTGGCTACATTGTCTGGGTCGTTAAGGCATACTGAGGAGATGGAAAAGAAACTGCCTCCGTTGGCAGACATCGATGCACTTCCGTTGCTGGATGCCATCGTCCGGGAAACTCTCCGACGACACGCACCGGCTCCGGCACCGTTATCCCGGGTGACTCCACCAGAGGGAGCATGGATCCATGGGTATTATATTCCCGGCGGAGTACAGGTCAGTTCCTCTGCATACTCACTGCACCGGATTGAAGAGGTCTTTCCGTCTCCGGAGGAGTGGATTCCCATGCGTTGGATGGATGCAAAAGATGACAAGATCCATGATATGCGGCGCTTGTTCTATCCGTTCGGAACCGGCGGAAGGATGTGTCTGGGGAACAATTTTGCATTTCTGGAGATCAAGCTGGTTATAGCGATGGTATATGCTAACTACTTGCCCGAGGTTGTGGATGATGAAGATATTGAGCAGCACTTGGAGTTCATTGCATTGCCAAAGGGGAGGAAGTTGATGGTGCGGTTTGTTCCCATCAAGGGTAATAATACTGTCTAATATCGTTAGAGATGACAGGGGAAACCTTATCCCATCCTCGAAATTCTATATCCTGAGCCAGGTGATCAATAAAAGCTATGGACATACCTTCACTTCATGGCATCCAATCGCATATAGCCGCCTGTGCCGTTCCCAATGTTCACTGACCCAACCAATTCTGCAATGCGAGGTCGTGTCAATGTCTTCGGAGAAGTACACTCTACCAGCAAGGGCCATGA